TCTCTTATTACCGAAGATACGAACCACCAGTTTTCACTTGTAGATCGTTCCAGAAATACTCCTACGAAATTATACATATGCCACTTCAAATCACATTGAAATTACCTCGCCATCCAGTACGAAGAATTCATCATTGGCTGCTTGCAGTTGAAACAACTTTACTTCAGCAAATCGATCAAAATACGCTTTAAGAAACGTGCAATCAAAACAAATTCATATCTTGCAGTATTGCAAACAGTAACGGTTAGCTGCGAATCTTTTTTTCCATTTAAGATTCCTTACTGATCGATAGAAGCAATTTTTTTTCTATTTTTAGATCATCTTTTTACAAAAGTATATGATGTAAGTGTTTATCATGCTAGTTCGAATCTGTTCTATTGAAGCCTATCGATCTTGAAAATTTCAGTAAGAGATTAATAAAGTTGAGAATCGGGTCTTTACTGCCTGAAACAAAACTTCATATAAAAATAAAATTAAAATTAATGTGTTCCCAACTGATTTTAATATTGCGCTCTACATACACAAAAATTTACTGAATAACTTTAGAGTAGCTAATGAGTAAGCTGATGTGTAGAGTCTTTGCTGTTACCGTAAAAAATAGATTTTCTGTAATTTTTGTTGTTAGTTAAGATGATAGAATCAAGTTTCTTTCTAGATCTTTCAATATGCGTGCATATTCATATTTTAGAAAAGCAACTTAGTAGTGAAACAGAAGTCTTTGATAATTGGGTATATGGGGATTCACAATTGGATAATGATCGACACTGATTGCAACACTTATATATTAGTTAGGGTCTTACCATAAGGATCAATAATGGCAGCCATTTTCTCGAAATATGGATTATTAAGATATCGAGTAATGTTCGAGGCGTAGTAATCACTGAATGCGAATGTCCATCCAGCCAATGACTTGAAATAGAATGTTCGAACATTTTTACTAGACAAGAACGTTTTTTATACATACTCGATAATGATGCATCATATTCTATGAGAAGAAAACATTTTATTAGAGAAGAAGATATTGATAAAGTTCTTTTTACTTGCCTTTTGAAGATTCAAAATATTTATGACAACAGGAACAGCAGCCGATACAAGCTGATTATTGACAGCAGCTGTTGTCCAAGCTATAATTATGAGTACTATTAATATGAAATGCAATGTCCTACATACTTACTTATCCATCCACGCTACAGACATAAATATGAAAAATTGTCAGATCTAATTGTCCATTGAAAAGAACTTACTTTGGAACCTCCTGCAATGATAAATTTATTGGGCATGAGAAGTCTTTCTTATTGTAACAACTGTTCTGTTGTATCCATGGCTCGTACTGAAGCCTATTATGTGTAGAAGATGTACAATTTCATTTAAATAATTTGTAAAATTTAGATTTTAGAGTATTAAAAAATGTAGTACGAGAAACATTGGTTAAAACTACTCATTTAACATACTTTGGTCATCGGCATTTGAAGAAGAATATTTGGATTTGTACCATTTTGTTCAATAAATGTTATCCAAGTCCACGCTATAATGGCATCTTTTGTACGAGATTTTTGTGTTGGATCAGTCTATCATAAGTGAAAGTTTTTTGAAATCGAATGGTTCCTATAAAAGACTCTACCATAAATCGAATCGGCTCATTAGGAATCTGTCTTAATTCTATAGCAACACTACCTACACTCACAGCAAAATTTGTTACAAAACTTTTGGTTGGTATTCTATTAGAAAAAATAAAACAAAAAAGCATTCACAAATATATTTTGTATTAATATAAGTAATTAATACAGGCTTTACTGATCTGTATTACGTCCTCCTTCGATCAACATAAAAGTAATATGTGAACGTCGAAGTATATGCGGTATTGTAATGATCATATAGTGCCACCAAATAGATTGTGATGATAAAGAAGCTGCAAAGTAGAACTAATCTAGTTAGTTGCACATAGTCCTGGTGACTACTTTACCATCAAGCCAGTGTTGAGACGTCATATTCAGTACATAGAGCGTATGCGTGGAAAACTCATATGTCTGCAAGCGTTTCCAGCTAAAATGTGCATCTGGTGTATTGACATAGTCGCCGAGTGGTGTCGTCTGAACTGAATTCAGTATCATAACCAAGACACAGTTGAATAGGCACAAAATTCGATACATTTTCGAGATTGCCGACAGATTTATAAGTCTTGCTTTTAAAATTGAAAAATGGGTGTACTCAACTGCCTAGTGTCGTATATGACAAAGAGAATATTTTATCAATATTCATATGTTGATCTTAAGCCTAAGATAATATTTCCCAACAAACAGAACAAAATAGTTGTATGTATTTTTTCAAACATGAGTTTTCTTTATCTTGAAACTTGAAACTCGAAAGATTGCTCTGTCGTGATCTGATCCAATTTACAACACCATATGAAGCATAAAAAGATACAACTTGTAACGTATACATCGTACAAGTTACTTCACGTAAGACATGACTGATAGTCATTGGGTCTGCACAAGCATTATCCTCCAATTACACTGACTTTTACATTTGTAATAGAGACAATATAATGATGAGTTTTGGTAACAATCGATAAAAGAAAACATATTAATCCAACAATATTTTATTGAATTTTTACTCAGAACAGCATAAAAATTCCATCATAATCCAAAGAATTTGCACGTGTATGAGACTAAGATCGCTATTTGCATGAATACTTAGAATATTTAGATACGATGATTTTCCGAGGTATTAAAAGATTAATACACAGGTAACACAAGAAGAAAAATATGTTAATAGAAATTGCAAGTTAGACAACAGAAGTCGTTTTTTTTCTATTTGGTAGAACAAATGGCAGATTAAATTTAGTTTTAGCTGAACTCTATGATATTTAAATATCTTTAACTGTACAGGTCATATAACCATTTTTGCTTGATTTAATAAAACGGTTGGAGACAATTTGAGTATTAAAACAAAAAAAAAAGATTATTCTCTAGAATAAAAACACTAGAATACTATATTTTGTTTGTAGAAATATTTACTGGTTTCGCGTTTATTGATCGATGGAAACTAAAACTCGACATATAGTGATTTGCGAATCTTTCTCATACCTGGAACCTACCGAGAACACGTTATTTATTGTCATTGAAAAGGGATGAATTATTGTCCCGAAATATAAAATAGAATCAAATTACGAACAAAAACAACAGACAACTGAAAAATGCAATATATATATATATATGACCATTCCTAGTCAATGACACTCGATTATTGGAAATCATTTAAGAGAGGGTCCGCCAGACGACCTACCAAGCCGGTACCACTCAAAATTTAGATTTTCGATTTGATATTCTGAAACGATAGGCCATGGTTAGGACCTTATAAATCCAAAATATGAACTCTTTATACCTCTCCTGTAAAAAGTTTTGAATCATACAATGTGACACGTCGTTTGACCTTGGTCAAAAAAATGGATTTTTAGGGTGTTCTCGGTATTTTGGATTTTTCTCTGCAATCACTCATCCGTCTGAGTCCGGACACGTCTCGAAAGATGCAGAAATATTTTCTCTACAAAACTGGTTAACTGAATCATTTTTATAAGGTACTTTATTAATTCATAGTTTCGATATACGAGCAAAAATTACAATTCGATTTTGCAGCAATTTTTTACTCTTTTGCATATTATTATACTTTGACTCGCTGTCCCAAAATAATTTTTATATTTTCTGAAAGCCCTTGAAATTCTGCATCTACTAATGAAAAATTCAAATGATTCCAATTCTGGTAGCGAAAGTTAGCCCGTACCATAAATGTTCATATTTGATGGTCATGTTCATTCATTTCACCACCGTATTTGATTTCAATACATTATATACTTATTCGAATAAGAAAATTGACCTCAGATTCATAATCAGTACACAAAACTACGTGAAATGGACTACTTTTAAGAACTCTTCAAAATTTATTGCAGGTCACCTGCTTGACGAAACAGTAAGTTTTATGTTATCATCGTATATTGGCTGCAGTTTATCGACTATAGACATTTTATAGGAAATTTATTTGGAGATATAAATTCATAATTTTATACAGTTTTTCAAGGGCTACAATTTGTATTTTTCTACATTTTTATTTAATTTCATTTAT